AAAAAAAAAGCTGTAAATAAAACATATCAAATAAAGAGGCAAAACTGCCAATTTACACATTTTTAATGCATTAAATATAAAAAATCTCGAGTGCTCCCGACACTAGATGTGTAAGATAGCCAAAATTTTATTTCAAGTCAAGGTACTGTCCTCGAAGGTACAATTCATGTTGTGTAGCAGTGTTTACTTGTGGGATGTCAAGGGACAGAGAGAGAGAAAAGAGAAGCGGCTTTCGATGCTTAAGGACCGCAGGTCCATCAGATTGTGGCGATATAAAAGCAGCTTAATTTAGTTGAAAAGGGATAATAATTTAGCTTAAAAAGTGAGAAAATTGGCTGAAAGTAAACAAGTTAAAGAAAAACAAACAATTTGTTCCCCAGACGTTAGCTTTTGAAACAAAGTCGACTTGACCAAAACAAAACTGGACTAACCAGGTCAAGAGTCTAAATTTAGGCTCCATCTCTGTCTTCAGTCCTGGATTCGCTCTTACAGGTGGAAATAATCACGCTTTATCATCTCTATACATGCATTTTTGATTGATAAAAAGAATTACAGATATCTTGCGGAAAGCTACGCGAAGAAGCATGCACATATGGCGAAAAACGATCATCCACCGTGTGATGGGACTGTAAACGACGCATTCGCGCAGCACGGTTCTTTTTATTTTTAGTGTTACACAGCCTAAATAGAGAAAAAGCCTAAGATCAAAATCCAAAAAAAACCTGCCGAATTTTCCATCACAGTTAAAATTTATTTAGGCGGAATTACGAATGGCGCAAAATGGTATTCGGTTTCTGGAGGGATGCAAGATTTCAATTATTTAGCAACGAATGCATTTGAAATAACACTAGAATTATCATGCGATAAATTCCCTGACGCTTCAATGCTACCAAAACTTTGGCTGGACAACAAGGAAGCACTCACTGACTTCATTCGAAAGGTTATCTAAAACATCAATTTCCATTCTATCTCCCCTCCCCCTCCTCCCGAGCTTCCTCTTTCTGGACAGCTTCCCGCTTCCTTTTCTACTTTGGACAGTACTTTCGGTTAATATGATGCCCACATCTGGTTTGCCCTACTGAACATTCTCCTTTTCTGTAGGTAATTTAAAATCCAAAGTTTTTTTGAATGGTTTAAGAACAGCCTTGCTGATTAGCACTCTCAACTTGACTTATCGAATCTTCCGCCCAACTTGAAGAAAATATATGACTATCGACGTCATAAAAAGTCTAGTTATTACTTCTCTTTGAATACTGCTGCTGCACAAATTCGCTAGCTGTGTGCTCAGAAATTCATACCATCCACCCAAGAACCTTGTGTGTGTGTGTGTGTGTGTATATGTATGTGTGTATGTGTTCGCCTGTCCGAGTATTTCTAATCGTCAACCATGCAAGCTTTGATGCTGAAATATTGCCATTGTGTTCCCTGACCAAGTGCGATCCCAGGAACGTGATATCAACTGTCACGCACGTTTGCGTCTCACGTGTGGGCATGTGAAAATTTTGACGGGAAAACTGCTAACTCGGAAATGAGGAAAGCTAGAAAGCTGATACTTTAAGGGAATGTTCATTACTCATGCACGACTAAAACATTTCAAATTCAGGTCTTTAAAAGTCTCACGTAGGGGCACGGGAAGCCGGAAAGCTAATTCGGAAACGAAAAAACCTGGAAGGTTGGAATTTTGAGGGAATGTTACATACTCTTTTGCGACTAAAAAATTTCAAATTCAACTCTTCTAGTGAGTCTTTTTCGCGCACCAGCAACTTTCCATTTGGTGGGTCACTGCAACCGATATCTGCAACTAACATGCCACATGGCTGCACAGTTAACTTTCTGAACTTCGACAGTCAGTATGTTACAAATCCTAGCTACTGGGATTCTTTGCGATCTTGCTGCAACACGAAATAGTGCAAAAACGTATGACTGCACCGGCCTGCCTACTGCGTTCCAGCCTGGGTTGCTGTCTCATTCGCCTGTGTTGGGTATGTTTTACAAAATTCTTGCGGAGAGACTGTATGATAGATTCGAGTTTGGAACCTCATCTGGCCGTCAAACTTATAATGAAGATGGGACAATCTTGTGTTCCTGGTGGTCGTTTGTGACGCACTGGCTAGCAAAACGGCTTTTATCATGCAGTGTTTAGATAAAGCGCAGTTAAACATACTTGAGTGAACAATCGAGTATTGGCAATAGGTTGGTCTGTAGACCCTAGGAATTGGAGGTCATGTAGTTTAATTGGAGAAGATTCGTTTGTCGAAACGGAGACTGTACCATTGAGCTGCCTGACGAAGTCGAAGGAATGGGACCAGACGAAAAGCCGGAACCCCGAATGAAGAAAAAGAGGGGTTTTTATAGATGTCTTATCCCGCTCAGGGAGGGATTCGTACCAGCCTCCCCTTTGTACCAGCTGCCATCTGGCTTCAACAGCAAAGTATT